TGAAAGGTAGTCAAACACCAGCCAAGCCTGGAGATTTACTGCTCAGTACCTCTGGCAAAAAGGGGAACACATATCCATTGCTCTTTATCCCACCTCGCTTTTCTCTGGTGCTTATAAAACTAGAGGATCATGGAAACCCATTTCCCAGAGCTGGTGACATGACTTCATGGGATTCCCAGGAATACCAGGGACAGAATTTTACATGTGTTGTCCAGTCCTTGTAAACTTGCTGACACAAATGTGCATTTTGGGTCTGGCTACGTGAGATTTTCAGATCTGAAGAATGAGCCTGATTTTTATAACTGAAACATCTGTTTGGGATGTTGGAGTGTCCTACCTCCCACCCTGCCACAGGGACAGTTTGCCTGCCAGCCTGGGTGGCCTCTGTCAGTAGGTGACAGTGAGTGGAACTTCTTCCCAGGGTGGTTCAGAGTACCTGAGTTCAGAGCCATGTCCAAAGAGGCCTCCAGGGAAGTCCATCGACTGGTGAAGGATCCTGTGCTGTTCAGCTGGATACAGTGGGAATGCACAATCTCCCTTCAGTAGCTTGAGGAAACCCTGGTAAGGACAAAGCAGTTACACCTCTGACATCTATTGCCAGTTCCAAGCAAAACCTCATTGTGCAAAAGCAACAAGGCACCTCATTGCATTACCTTACACTGTGTTTGCACATTAGCTGGGGCACAGCCTTCACCCTGAGTCAGCATTCCTGAAATTACTCTCTCCATGTCTTTAAACACAGCTCTCAGTTAGCCTTCACGGTCTGCTCTGCCATGCCACGTGATGGAAGCGCTGGGAAAACCGAGTCAGCCAACTTGAAATTGGCTTTTTTTTATCAGAGCCCTCAGGCAACTGATGGTCACAAGGAATTCACATCAGCTGCTTTCCTCAAGACTGAACCCAGTAAAGAGTGTTTACATACCAGGGCTGATGGTTGTGAGTTTACACACAGGATGTTTTATGAGGGTTACCTGTAAAATCAGTCAAACACAGAGCACCACAGCAGTTCATGTGTCAGGCCTGATCCATCATCTTGGCAACTCCACTGCTGGCGTGGCTGTTTAGGCTGGTAATTAAAAGCAGCAAGTAAAGCAAACTGGATAGCATTCCATACTCACTCCATATCTGAATGTTAACCAGAGCAGTGACTTGTCCTCTTGTAAAATGGGGAACAGAGCAAGCTTTTCAGCAAAGAGCTCATGCTTTAAAGCAATATGAGCAAACTGAGCCATATCTAGAGACCTCATCCCTAGGTTTCTCTTCTCCATGCCTTATTCAATCATCCACCAACACAGCTTTTACATGAGTGCTGTTTATTGCTGTGCCCCCTTCAGAGGGGCTGTGTGTTCCAGGAGAGCTGCTCGTGCCCCTGCACTAAACCGTGTCCTACACCTCTGCTGTGTCACAGGCTTCTTCTAGCACTGTGTGCTGAACAATCCTCCTTTGTGTTGTGCCACTGGATGTGTTTGTGGCCAGCTTTTGTGCAGCTTGGGGTGTGTGTGCTGGTGCCAAGAATCCTTGCAGAAATCTGCTTTCTTGGTGCCTGCTTGAAGATGGTAAGGGAGATGGAGCCAGCCAGGCTCAGCACCCTCAGACAGGCTTGAGGGGGGTCAGTGTGCCTATGCCTGGTCTGGGATTGGGAAAAAGGGCTTGTTCTCCCCCCACCAAAGAGAAAAGAGGGTGCAGCTGGGCAGTGTTGCTGTGGCTGACACCTGCAGGCAATCAGTGCTAACGAGGCTGCCAGCACAGACTGCAGGCGCTGCAGGAGGGCACACACCTCAGCCTGAAGCTTGCTGAGGAAAGGTGAGTAAATCTGTGGTTTTATGCATTATTTTTTATCCTGCGTGGGACAGTTTTGCTGCCTGCTGGGTTGGGGCTGAGGGGGCGACGACACAAGTGGTGGAAGGCAGATGTTTGGGGCACAGGGCACACACAGGATGCTCAGCCCTTGGAGCACATGGGGCAGGGACAGGTCTGCCCCACACCCCTCTGTGCCCACCGTGTGTTCTGTACATGATTAGTGTCGTGTGTGTGTTGTTGGGAAGAAGTTTTGTAAATCCCACGGGAAGGGACCGAGGTGGGATCCCTCTCCCTGCACTGCCCCGGAGCTTCCCTGGCACATCCTCACCCCTCACACAGTTTGGGGGTACAGTGTCCTCCTACTTCTGAGGCTGTGACAGTGTCACACACAGCCACAGAGTCACTCAGATGACCTATTTCTGTCAAGAGAAGTTAATGCAAACTGCTCAGGGAGAAGTTATTTGCTGCTCTGGTCTTACTTAGCCCTCACTGCTCTTACGGATTTCCGTTCCTGCCCTATCTATTGTCTCCAAACTCATCTTTTTGTTTAGAACTGGTTATTTGTTCCCTTCCTAGGTGTGAGGGGAAAACATCCACCACTTGACCTGTGTTGATAGAACTATTTAAGTTAGAAAAGACCCTTAAGATCGAGCCCAACTCTTGACCTAACACAGCTCACCACAGTGTCCCATATCTACACCTCTTGTAAAGATCTGCAGGCCTGGGGACTCCACCACTGCCCTGGGCAGCCTGTTCCACTGAAGAAATAGCTCCTAACACCCAACTAAACCTCCCTGTTGTAACATGAAGCCTCACAGCTCTTTTGCAGAGGGTTTTTGAGGTCCAATTTTCCCTCACCATGATGCTGTAAGGAGATAAAGTGGTGACTACACACTAGGCAGGAAAAAGCCAAGAAAACCCACACCCTTAGGCCATGGTGTGGTGCTTTCTGCTCCTCCCCAGAGCAAGCTTGGGGTTCTTCCAGAGATATTGGGATGAGATTCCTGTAACTTCAGGCAGGGACAAGTGCTGCTTTCCCCATTCACTGTGACCCTCTCTGCCTGCAGCAGGGCACGGTGTTCTGGCTTTCCTGGTCACTGTAGCAGGAGGGAAAGTCTTGTCAGCACTCCAGGAGCCACCCAGGGCACTCTGCACTTACCTCTGTCACTTGTAAGAACAGGATTATTTATAGACTTGAGAGAACAAAGCTCCAGCAGCAGGAAGTGCTGGCAAAGGGATGCTTCCTTCCTACCCTTTCTCCTGCTTTGTGGTCTCCTTAGTGGTTAAAAAGCAGGATAAGCCTAATTAATTCTTGTGGAAAGTCCAAGAGGGGGGTTGAGGGGGTGGCAGCCCCCATGAAGGCACTTTTTGTACCCTGAGTACTGCAGTCAGGAACGCTTGTGTTGTGGCTAACCTACCTGGCAATCAGGATTGGCAGCTTAACAGGGAAAAAAAAAAAAAAGAAAGAAAGATTAGCTTTATTATTGTCAGTTCTGAAAGACCTAGACCTCATGTGCCCAGGGCAGCCAAGAGCAGAGACACACATGGACCAGCTGTAAGCTCTCCTGTGCCTCTGCTACAGAAGGGCCTTGTGCTTCTTCAGTGTTGTACACTCCATTTAGCTTACCTTCAGCCAGGTAACATGACAGAGTGGGAAACAAGACCAAACCCACCTCTTTTCCTCAACTCCCCACTCCAAATATCCCACACAATTGAAAAAAACCATCAAGACTTACTTGGCAAGGCAAAGCACCAGCAAGACTTGTCTCATCCTTGGCACAGTAAACACACCTTCAACCTCTAGAAACTAACATCCTACCCCATAAATAATGCAGGAGAGGAGTTAGAAACACCATTTCCCATGGCCCTGTCATGCAGTGTGGTCAGGCTCCTGCCACCCCTCCTGGGGCTGCCCAGCCTGAGCAGCTGCTGCAGGACAGATCAGGGTAGAGCTGTGGACACAAAGGCACCAGGCTTGCAGCCCATCAGCTTTCCATAAAAAGGCTGGAATGGCTGGAACACTCAGCAGAATGGGATTGCCTCTGCCCAAGAAACAGCTGGCCCAACTGCTCAGCTGTTAAAGGAGCAGCAGATGCAGCCCTAGCCTAGAGATTAGTCACCAGGGATCTAATTCCAGCACTGGAGCAGCACTTGGCTAAGGAGACCTCACCTGTTGAGGTCATTACTGACTGTTGCAGCAGCAGCCACAGAGCCAGCCCCATACCTAGGTACCCTCCCCAGGCTCCCAACTCCCCACAGGACTTCTTTACCTTCCATCAGGTGCTCAAATGCCACATCAGTCCCAGCTCCAGCCTGTCTTGGGTCAGCATGGCTAGCAGGCTGCTGGGGAAGAGCAGTAGCAGACACTCTGAGGCATTGCAGGAGCAGAGATGTTGTAAGCAGAAGAGATTGGTTACTAAGCTATTTTTTGTCTGCCTAACTGCAACTATTGTGCTTGGTGTACTCAGGATTTAATACCTCTAACAACCTTGTTCAGTACAGCCCTTAAGCTGCACCTGGAGCTTAGCAGCCAAGTGTTACAGACAGTGACCCAGACCTGACTTGTTGCTAAGCCCCTGACTTCATGGTACCTGATAGTGAGTCTGACAGTGCCAAGACCTCAGTTCATGAGGCAGCACAGCCTAGCACAGCACACTCTCAAGACCTCCCTCCAAAGCTTCCTCTCAGGCTTCACCTTTCACTCTGTATCTTCTCCCTTAGCATGTGTAGTTAGCCTGCTCTTCTCTGCTCCTCGGGTAACACTAGTGCCAGCCTGCAATGCACCCACCTGCTGAGTGTGTTCATGGAAAGCAAAGCTATTTGCAAGAGCACAAGCCATGCCCTGTGTGCCCTTGTCAGCCCCCACCCCCAGCAAGGAGATGGGAGCAGCATTTCTTGGTCAGAGATGGCACAGGGAACAGACAACATATGCTTGTTTGAGCCCTCCCAGCTGTGACTAGTGCCAGGGTTTAGAAACCACACAGGGTCCACTCACTGCAGCCATCAGGGTGAAGGGAGCAGCTACTGCTAAGGCAGCTTTAGTCACAGTCAGTCATGCTTGGCGTGGCTCGTGTCTCAAACAGTATCCCCTGCAAAGCCACAGTGTGAGTAGGCACATGGTTGGGTACACATTCCCTCCTTGCCCACCCCTGTAGCACACACAGGAGCAAGCAGATTAGAGCAGGAAACAGCAGAGGAAGCAGCCATTGCAAGTTTGGGTTTATTTCACTGTGCAGGGGGCAGAAAACAAACAAAGCTATAGCTGTTAGCTGAACTTAATGGCTTTGACTTTAAAGTCACCCTCCACAGCCAGGTATGTGATTTTCTCCATGCCCAGACGATTAGGGAACTTGAACTCAGCCTCAGGCAGCTTCACCGTTGCCTCAGCTTCATCGAAGGAGATGCACATCTGTAGAGAGCCACAAGAAGGAAGGCTAACACATCACAGCTCCCAGGCCCCCCTCACTCCCCACTCCCTCCAGTCTGGTGAGGTGGCTACTGGTGCCAAGGCCACACTCCCTAACTCAGCCTCCTGCCTGCTCAGCAGAGACTTGGAGGGGAGAAAGTCTGTTTGCCCTGCCCCAAGCTCAGCTCCAAGCTTTGGCAACAAAAGGATGAGATAGACCCATCAATGTTTTAACATCTGAGTTGTGTGGCTTGCAAAGCAAGGCTAGAGTGGGCACTCAACTCATCTGAGCTGTTGTGCACTGACTTGAGCAGCACAGATCCAGGTTTTAACCACAAGACTCTTCCCCTGCTGCTTATTCCCCTTTCCATGCCTGCTCCTTCTGCACCAGAGGCACAGGGCAACAAAAGCTGTGCCCTTGGCCCCTCAGTGCTCATTGCCAGGGCCTTGCACACACCCCTGAGGTCTCACCTCAATCTTGTCACCATGCTGGAAGGGAAACTCAGCCTTCCTGTCCTCTGCACCCCACAAGCCATCCTCCTTGGAATTGCACACGATGGTGTTGATGTCCCCGTGGCAGTCGAAGCGAGGGTTGAAATGCAGCATGAGGGTGCTGCTGTCCTTCCCAACATTCACTGCAAACCTGGGGAAACCAGGGACAGTGCAAAGGAGGTGTCTGTACGGCAGCTCCAGCTGAGAAGCTGAGCACAGCAGGAGCTCAGGCTGCCCCCAGCACCACATCCATTCATTCTCCATCCCCTCACTTACCCTTTGGCATCAGATTGGATCTTCCCCTTGACCTTGATGCACTCACCAGGCTGGATGTCCAGCTGGGTAACCACCAATCCCTGCAGGGTCAAACCACAGGAGTTAGTCTGTCCCAAGGCAATGCTGCCAACCTGCTTGGGCCAGGGCACAGAGCAGCTCTGACAGACCCTAAGGCCAGTGGTGTGATGGAGGAAGGGTTGACCCAGGCCAGGTGCCTGTTCCCACTCCCTAAGATGACAAGGAGGTGATTCAAGAGCAGAGTACATCACCAATTCACCAGCTGCTACAGAAAGCAGTGTTGCTGAGCTCCACTTCACCACGTGCCAGCTCAGGTAGAGAGGCTGATTTCAAACCAGTAGTACTGTTTGGTGGGGCTACTTCTTGCCAAGGCTGTGCAAGCCCATGCCCAGCGCTGCCCCCAGCCCCAGCACTGCCCCCAGCCCCAGCAGTCCTCGCCCTGCTGCCTGCTCTGCCCAGGCAGTGCTGAGGTCAGGATTCCCCGAGCCACTAAACCTCTTATCGCCGCCGCACTGACTCTGCCTTCTGCCCGGCACGCAGCCTCCGTGCCCGGGGGGCTTTCGAGGAAAAAAAGGGACTAAGAGTACACTGCCAGCCAGCTTTGCTCGCCTGTTGCACTTAAAGCTAACCCGCTCCTGTACCTAAAAGGCATTTTTCCAGAAGAAAAATACTAAGTTTAAGGGGAAAAAATAATAAAGGGTGTTC